CCCCATTCTCCGGATTAATTAGGGAGGCAGAGGCAGGAGGCTGCGCGTCCTGGCCGCGGGCCGGGCCGGGGCGCCGCTGGCAGGAGCGCTTGGGGATCCTCCAAGGTAGGAGAAACTTTTGCGGGGGGCAGGAGCCCGGGCCCTGCTTCCCCCTCCCCCTGCTCCCCACCCCCACCCGCCCCTCCCCCTCAAGGTGTTCCCGAATCTGGGTCCGGCTTTTGGGTGCACGGGGGAGGCACGTGACCGGGATTAGAATTCGGGGCCGGGGGAGGGGACGGACGGACGGACTCACGGACGTCCCCCCCAACCTGCTAGGAGGGAGTGGGAGCCGAGAGCTGTCACCCCCTTTTCCTTCCCCCACCGGGTCCTTACGGAGATGGGGGGCCCCCCGGGCCGGCGCCCGCAGGCTGCTGCAGTTGGCGAATGAGGTCAGTGTGTTGCCCGCCAGGCCGGGAAGGGGGGCTGGGAAGGCCGCGCCCCCCCACCACTCTGTCCCTGGGCTGCTGTACCCCCACTCACAGGTGGAGCCCACATGCCCCGCATCCTGGATCCTTGGGGGTCCCCCAGGAGGGAACCTTGCCTGAATAGTGGCGGCTGAGCCCGAGTGGGGGGCACACTCAGGAGAACGCAGGGCGATGAGGGTTCAGAGGAGCAAGTTGGGGAAGCCCGCTCTGTGGGTGGTCTCTGAGTTGTGCCAAGGGGCGGGCAGGAGGAGGGCCCGGGGTGCTTTCTGCGTACCCCCATCCCATGGGGTCCCTGGGATGATGGCTGGACCCCAGCTTGCCAGCGGGGGAGGGAGCAGGTTTTTCCCGGCTGGGCCCAGGCTCTGAGCACCGCGTGGGGAGTTGTGCCCTCGTGGCTGGGCTGGCTGGAGGGCTCACACTCTGGGTCTGCCCTGGTGACCCGGCCTGCCAGGACCAGGCTTGGCGCAGGACTTCTGTGTGCCTGTCCGGCTGAATGGAGGGAAACAGGCATGTGGGGTCTTCCAGCTGGGCACGTGGGTGGCATATGTGCCCACGGGGTGCTGTGGGTGGCCCTGGGCAGGGAGGGCAGGCCCCATATCTCTCTGAGAATGGGCAATGGTGGGGGTGCCCTATTGCTCAGAGTGGCAGGGAGGGATGGACTGAAGCCACCTTGGCCTCTGTGGTCACTGCTGGCCCCACTGTGTGTTCAGCTGCCCTGTGGCCGGGGCTGCTGGCTCCTGGGGCTTGGGGCTTAGGAGGGGCCTGGGAGCAGTTCATTTATTTCAGCAGCGTCATTCCCAGAGAGAGAGGGCACTGGGCATTGATTATTTATTCCATAGTCCGAGCAGGAAGAGGAGGTGGGCAGCTGGCTGGCGGGGAGCTGGGGCCACCAGGTGGCCAGGAGGGATCACCTGTTTGGGGCCCAGGAGGGTGAGCTTGACTTTGGCCTGGCAGGGACCAGCGGCAGACCTGGCACCTGCTTCCGGGCACCCTGTTCTGCCGCCAGCTCAGAGGATGACCTAGAATTGGCAGTTCCAACTCCGAGGGTCCTAGAGGAACCTGGCATTGGATTGGGGGAGGGCTGGGCTCAGTAGTGCTCCACCTGCTCTCGGGAAATAGCAGAGAACTTGGGGCTGAAGGTGGGGAAGTGGGTCTCTAGGGGACAGTGTTGTTGGGCCCGCTTAACCTACTTAATATGAGGACGGTCCTCTGGGTACTCAGGGAAGGATCGTTCCTTGGCAGTGTGCTCCTTGCAAATAATTTTTGCCTGTTCATTGAAGGCAGGCTCCTAGGGCCACCTCTGGCCTGTGACACGGTGGCAGTCTTGGGGACAGTCCCAGAGGCAGCCATAATGATAGGGGTCTCAGAGGCAGCTGTGCCTGCGTAGGCAGTGAGACCTGGGCATGCATAGTTTGGTGACACCCGTTCTTGGAAACCCTAGCTGAGCATCTCAGAGTGACCTGGTGGGTGACAGTGGCTTGGGGTGTTTGTGTCCTAAGCATGACCTTGGAGCCACAGACTACATGAATCTCCCAAGCGCCACCTCTGGAGTTTGTCGCTCTTCCCACCGGCTGCACCCTGGCCACCATGTCCCGAGTGGCCTTGCTTCCTCCCAGCCCAGCTCTGTGCTGGCCCCTCCTCTTGCTGTCCCGCCCTCTCCAGGGCCCTTCCTGCCCCTCCCCTCCAGGGGCTGGGGCTCCCTTTGATGGTCCTGCCTGACTAGGGGTGGGAGGTGGGTGCCCAGGAGTGGGGGTGAGGTTGTAGAATCCACCCTTTCCTTTCCACCTTCCAGCCAGGGCTTGGCTGTGATCTCTAGCAGAAGCCTTTCTTGTCCGCAGGGCTGATCAGAGGGCTACCTCTGTCCCTGTGACATCCTGTCTGTCTTTACTCTGTCCCAACATTGATTGCACTCAGTTGTTCGTGTCAGCTGCGCCAGGGGCAGGCAGGGCGCCTGTTGAATGGCTGTGTGCCGCATGAATGAATGAATGAGTCCATGGGCAAATGAAAGAATGAGCTCCTGCTCCCCTCGTTCCTGGGCCCCACTTTCCCCCACCCCATCACCTCACCTTGATCTTCCCAAAACCCATGCATGAGGCTCTGCTCCCTAAATCACATCCATCCTACTTTTCCTGGTGGCTGGAGAGCATGGGAACCCCTGGGGAGCAGGACCAGCAGTGGAATTCACAGATGCCAGAGGGGTCCCCCATGCTGGGTTCAGGTTTGAAAAAGAGGCTCCCAAAAGGACCAGGGACCCTTGGAGAGACTGATGGAACTAGAGGCAGGTGGGGTGGTGCACCTGGCCAGAGGCTGTGAGAGGTGGGGCTGTCCAGGCTGCAGGGGTAGGTGATGGGGTCCGGTGGAGGGCCAGCCCCCTTGAGTGGACTCTACAAGCAGCAGAGTTGTTCCTCAGGCCGCTCTGTGCTCTCTGGAACAATGCTGGTCCATGGTTTCCTTGCTGTTCTTTGGAATTTTGTTTTGTTATTGCACTACCAGGATGGAACCCAGTGCTTTTGCATTGAATTAAATCCCCACCCCTTTATTTTTTGATGTGAGGTCTCATTAAGTTGAGGAGTTGCTCTGTCTAAACTGGAACTTGGTGATCCTCCTGCCTCAGCCTGCCAGAGTGCTGGGATGATGGGCCGAGCCACTACACCTGGCTCTTCCATCCTAAAGGTTCCAAGCCCAGATGTCTCTCGGCTGTAGAGTTGAGCAGTGTGGGTTTAGGGGACAGAGCACTTTGGGAGGCCCCAGTGCTATAGCAGTTCCTCCCCTCCCTGTCCCATACCCCAACTCTATCTCCCTCCCACAGGACTTCCGGTCCCAGGTCCCACCCCCTTCCCTCTGGGTCTCCAGGACTGATGGACTTGGTTTAGCTCCATGGCTCCCTAAGTGTGGTGTGCTCTCAGCTGAGGTGACACCTGTCCCGCATTTCCTCTGTGCGCAGACTTGGGGTGCTCTCTGGGAGCTGGGGCAGGGAGCAGAACTCTCCTTCCTGATGCCCTCCTCTCGGCCCTGGGCCTGGCTATCCCAGAGCTGTTTCAGGCCCACCTGCCTCGCTTCTTCAGGCCCACCTGCTCCGGGTTGCTAGATTTAGCGAATGAAAATAAGGATGCCTGGTTAAATTAGGGTTTCGGGTGGGTGCCGGATGAGGCGGTGTTTGGGGTGTGCTGCTGCGGGGACCTGCTTATCTTGCAGCCCTACTGCTGCAGCCTGAGTGGGGGGCTGTTGGGAGCCGGGGAGGTGTGGCTGGGCCTGGAGTTGGGGTCCTGCCCCAAGACTCAGGGGAGTCTGCAGCAAGCTTGCCCCACTCGTGGTCACCCTAACTTCTCTAAGGTTTTCTCTAGTCTGTGGTCCGAGGGCCCTGTTAGTCCTGTTCAGCTTGGGTGGCATGGGAGGTGGCTTTGGAGTGACTAATGGGCCTCACAGGGCTCCTCAGCCCAGAAAGCCTTGTTTCAGAGTCCTCTGGGCCAGTATGCCCCAGACAGTGCTGGAAGGAGGCGGGAAGTTTCCGGAGATACCCTCATTTGTACACCAAGCTAAGATTCTCCATCAAGATGTGCACAGCTGGGGCTGGGGAGATACCTTGGTGGTCTAAGTGCCTGCCTGGCAAAGCTCGAGGACCCAGGTTCGATCTCTGGTACCACATGCCATGCTGGCCCTGGGCCCAGCTGGCCACCAAAACTGGGTGAGGTGACGCACACCTGTAATTCCAGCACTGGGGATGCTGAGACAGGAAGATCACTATGAGTCCGAGCTGCATAGCAAGGCCCTGTTCCCAATCAATCAATCAATCAATCAATCTTAAAAGATATGCAAAGCTGAGCTGAGCCCGGCAGTACATGCCTGCAATCCCATTAGTTAGGGGGCTGAATCAGGAGGATGACAACTTAGAGGCAGCCTGTGTGACATAGCAAAACTTTGTTGCAAAAACAGAAACAAAAGGTTTGCACAGCCAGGTGGGAGCGCGGAAGACAGGTTCTGTGCTGTCCCCATTTCCTGCAGGAAGATCTTGCCTCAGGGTGGCTCTGTGGCAAAGGTAGTCTGGTCGCTCTTGGTCCCTATCCATGTCTGTAACTGAAGGCTGCAGGCTGGATGATTGTAAAAGAACTCAGATTTCCTCAGCCTGTGGCTCTAGAAGTTCAAGATTGTGGGCCATGAGTGGGAAGGACTCGAGCTGAGATCTGGCTTGGACCCCTGGGGGGGGGGTCGGTCTCTCTCTCTCTCTCTCTCTCTCTCTCTCTCTCTCTCTCTCTCTCTCTCTCCCCCTCTCTCTCCCTCTCTCTCTCCCTCTCTCCTTTGCAGTACTAGGCCCTCAGTCCAGGGTGTCATGCTGAGCTACATCCCCAGCCCTTTGTAAGTATTTTTTGAGACAGGTTCTCGTTCAGTGACTGCATTGTCCAGTTTGGGCTTGAATTCACACTCTTCTGCCTCAGCCTCCCGGAGTGAGGAGATGACAAGCGTGCAGCATCATGCCTGACTCTCTCCCAGTCCCCTCCTAAGCCACTGGTGCTGTTATGGGACCCCTTCGTGCCTCCCATTGATCCCTCACCATGTCTTCTGTTGGGGTTCCCTCTTAATACCTCGCATAGGGGATTATATTTCAGCATGTTTCCCTTGCCTTTCAAACCCCTGTTTAGTGGTTATTGGGACCAGCTGCACTCCGCAATGCTGGTGTCCCAGGCTGGGGTCCCCTGTGAGCCCTGCAGTGGGGAGTCTGGCCTGGAAGTGAGAGGCTGGGGTCCCCTGGTCCATAACCTCTGACCTGGACTGGACATGTTGCTTGCATCTGGATTGATGCCCGGGGTACTCCGGGTCTGGGTTGTCCCCCAGGTGCCTGTGTCATCCCAGGCCTGCACAGGGAAGGGCTCACTCTGCAGAGGCTGTTTGTCCTGCAGGGTTGGGGACAAAGCTGGTGAATACCTGTGTCCTCTGTGTGCCGTTAAAGAACTTTGCCCAGTGTGCAC